AACTTAACAACCTTTATAAAACACTCTATAAATCACAGTGATTCACACACTTTACTTACGGTGCCTACTCAATTATCTATCTCTTCAATCTATCTATATATCTCTCTTCAATCGCGCTGGTTTTTCTTGCCAGGCTTACATACTAAAAAAGAGGGCGCCTCGAAAAACTCGGGCCTACCCGATAATTCATGATCCTTCCAGACACTCCAGCGCGCATGCTCCCAGAGTCACGCGACTTCCGCTGTCGTAACAGTATGTACATTGTAAAGTAAGTAAGACGTACAGGTACTTACAGCAAATATTGGGCATATGGTATGCAGATTAGACAACACCAGACTAATGAAGTGGTAATGAAAAGTTAAACGTCTCATTTTTTAAAAATTATTTAAATATATACCCATAAATTTGAAAGTTTAAACAGTATGCAATTTCATAACTTGTCATATTTTTCTGAAGTCAACATCAGTTAAATATATCATACCAAATGTAAACACTATTTTGATGCTTTAATCTGCAAATGCCTTGTATTACACCAGTAATATATGATTTTCATGTAAAATAAAATATTTTGCATAACTAAGTAACCTAACTATCTTATATCAACATTCAAAGGTGAATCTCACTATGGGGAATGATGAGAGCAACTATTTTAATGAGGAAAATATTAGCTTTCACCCAGAACAACATCAAGTCTTTAATTATAATACCTTGCAAAGATCATTTGGGGGAAAGGGGCTCAGGTTCAAAAAGATTTGATAGTAGATCAAGGGAGGGGAGGAGAACATGACCATTCGGTCATAACTCAGTAAAAAGAGGAAAAGGGAGTCTTTAAAAGGGTAACATTGCTAAATCTATTGTCTTTAGATCTAAAACAGCGTAGGTAATGCATCATTGGTTAAATACGTATTGTTACGTCTCCGTTCGTTAGTTAATTTTCCGTAAATTCGTCCCGACGAAACTTTAGCGACACAAGTCCTTTCTTAAATAAAACTGGTTTATTCTTTCTGAATATAACTTTGTGATACACTTAATTTCAACAGTCGCGCTATAACAAACGCTATAATTCTCAACGAACGTCTCACGTGCTCGACTCAACAATACTCCGTTCAATTACACACATTGTTGTCGTCAATTTGTGACCGTCTTATATATACAAGACTACACTATATCTAGAAGGATCCCGAGATTTAAGGAAAGGACGTGAATGTTCGAGAACGACGTGGCGTGATACTAGTCACGTGACCTCTGCTAACGCAACACTATAATGATTTGTGTTACTTCTGTTGGACTTCATGTTGTATATATTTTTTATTTTTCAAGCATTTGTATCAATTTTTGCCACAAATAAATCCGAATGAATTTTATTATATTTATATCAGAAACTTTTTAAATTATTTCCATCCACCTCACTTAAGAGTGTTGAATGTTTGGAAGTGCAGTTACATAAATAACATTTTTCTCCCCCCCCCCCCAAGAAAAGGACATGATGTGCCACCTCTTGTTCATTGGCACAGAAGCATATTTAGACAACTTGAGGCCCAAGGAGCAAAGGCAGCCTGAGGCCCCTTAGTCCTTAGCTATGTATTTTGTTTGTTTGTTTGTTTGAAGTTAAGCACAAAGCCACACATTGGGCTATCTGTGCTCTGCCCACCACGGGTATCGAAACCCGGATTCTAGCGTTGTAAGTCCGCAGACATACCGCTGTGCTACTGGGGGGCTAGCTATGTAAGAAACTTGTAGAAAAATAGAAACAAACGAGTTATAATTTGTTTATTTGGGGGCCCCGTGTTTGACAAACTTTTTTAAATATCTACATCATTTACATTTCCACAAATGTCTGTTGAACCATACGCAATATTTGAGCATGAATTTTATATCAATGGATAGGAAATTTTACGCTTATAAGCAGGTATCACGTTTTCACATATAAAAAATCAACGTAAGTTACAGGTCCCATGAGGCCTCCCAGCTAGCGCTTCGTGCGCCTGTGTGTAAATCCAGCTCTGCATTGGTAACATTATTTCAGAAGAAAAAGAACAGATTTTAACCTTAAGATTCCCTGTGAGCTAAAATCCAATGCATTCTTCATATGACAGGTCAGATATATGGGTTTTGTGAACGATTTTTGCACTAATTTCTAAATTAAAACCAGTTTTAGATCATCTTGGCTTGACAAATTAATTAAAATCAAATAACAGGATTATCCAAACGTCTAGTTTAGATAGAAACTGCCATAAGTTGCTGGTGAGCACACATCATTGAGAAATTCTTACTTATTTTTTTTATTGGAGTATTTTTAACTCAGATGCTTCTTGCCCTATTCATTCAATATTCAAATATAACTAGATTTTGATGGAACATGTCATATAGATCTATAGTAATCAAGCTGTTGTAAAGAAAAATAACCGTTTTTTTTTTTGTTGTTGTTGTTGTTGTTAAACACAAAGCTACACAATGGGCTATCTGCGTTTGTATCAAAACCTGGTTTTTACAAATGCAAGCCTTCAGACTAACTGGGGAGAAAAGAAAAATAGTAAATTATGTTTAACAAGTTACTGCCCCTTTCCCCAGTGGCTCAGTGGTA